CCGACGACGTGCACTTAATTCGAAGATTCTATGCCATGTTAGTCATGCAAAGATCAAAACTCCTGCAAGCAAGACAGGTGAAAACAGGCTGTTGCAAAATTTCCGAGGGAAACGTGTTGCTCGTCCACATCCTGGCTAAGCAGAGCTATGATTCCCTACATTATCGATGTATGCAGTGACACTTTGTAGAATTGAGCCATGCGATGATATGTTGGCGTTGGTTGAACTCCAGTTGGGTCTCCTAAGAAACCGACGGGCATTGCCATTGTCCTTGAAACAGCGGGGAGCAACCTTCCACAACCTAGAAAATATCAATTTTCTCCCAACAGGTGTAATACAGTCATAATATTGGGTGTAAGGACGCCAGAGGTAGGTGTTAGGGCATTCAACGCTTTGAGCATCAGCAACCACATCAACTGTCCATTGCTTGCTTGAACCGTCAGTGTTGCAGTGCCCAACAGTACAACTTTGCCCAGCTGCTGTATTCAAACTCGTGTAATTTATAATGCAATGACTAGCGCAATAATTTGAAGTAATTATCCTGCAAAAGAGGGTGGTCCTCCAGTGGTCAGGCCCAGTTCCAGTGAGGCCCAGAGCTCGATGCAGAGCTCGGGGCTCGTAGCTAGGAACAGAAAAACATCCGAGACAAACAGAGGTATTCCTAAAGTGAAACCAAAACTGATAGCATTTGGATCGTTTTAGTCCTTACAGAGCTTCTTTAGTGAGTGCTGATAGGTATGAACCTACGTAGCCAGAAAGGCAGGTAGGAGCAGAAGCGAAGCTGCACTTAGCTCACTATGAATGTGCTTCTGAACCATGATTTTCTTGAAGAATATTCGGAATTAAGCGGGAAAAGGACAAAAGTTGGGGTTAATTTAGGGATTCCCACGTGGATTAGCTGGGAGCTAGCTTGGCCAGGCAGCAAGCAGCAAGTGTCTTGGGCACACTCTTTGGCGGCGGTGCGACAAGTAGTATGACGAAAAGTACAACTCACGTTTCACGGAATACGTCGACAATATTCAAAGGAAAGTTCTTCGTTTCTACTGGCTGCATCAACGCATCAAACAAAACGCATATTAGGTTGAGGAAGGACAATGGAGTTTTAGGAGGGTCCACTAATCTGGGCGTTTGGTAGGTCAGACAGTAAGGCAGTACGTAAGTCAGGCTTGAATCTGTCCTCAAACCCGACAAACAAGGAACATTTAAATAAGATGGCGAGACTTGAGAGTGTTTGAAGTGCGCTGTAAATTGCTAGGAAAACATTGCTTCAGGCTTTGACTGCAAGCCTACCCTCTCGTGAGATCACCATACGAGCAAGGCACAGGCAAGGGGAGCCAACAGTACAACAGCGATAGGCGGACATGCGGCACAAAAACCATAGCCCACAGATTTTTAGCAGACCAATGCCCTGGAGAAACTGCAGCATGGAACAGTGAATCATGTGCCCAAACTGGAGGCAACAGGTGCGGGGTGCTGTTGGCGTTCTCCGTAATACACCCCAATCCGGAAGCATTTTGTTGCCATTGCCTGCAGGCCGCTACAAAGCGTTCTGTTGCTGCCTTGGGGAATTAAGCACGGCGAATATCCACGCTGCACATATAAACAGAGTGTCCAGCATCCTTTGGTGGTAACAGCTCACACAGACTGTAATGCACCTCTACGGTATCCTACTGGCGCACCACTCACTGGAGCCGTTGTGGCCCGCACTTTTCAGCGAATACATTCTCCCTACGTTAGACCTGCGCCATATAGATGTGTATAGAATCATCGAAAGTTTATATATATATCTGTAGTATCAAAATCGCACTTTCTCAGAAACTGCAGTCTCTTACTTGCTAGGCAGTGGCTTGCTCGATCCAATTCAGCTTGTCATTTTCATGAAGGAACTACACAGCCCTCTTCAGGCTTGAATTACAGTTAAGTCAGCATATCCCTCTTCAAGCTTGAAGTACACGTCAACTCAGCGTGGCTTTCTTGTGATATTTTTAGTGGGGACACTTTAAATGAGTCCACCGCTTAGATTCCGACGAATTCCACTACTGTGCTACTCGTAGGAGCGAAGTATGTCGAAACGCATTGGCTTCTAAATCAAGTATCTCGGTGGCATAGCTCACCAGCAGTGGTTGCCCCTCTATTTGAAAGTTTCATAATGCAACGAAGCCTCTATCGTGGCGCAGCATTGAAAAGTGCAGCTGTGGTCTAGGATGCGTACACTTGTGCATGGCTGCGATGAGCCCGCCAGCGAAACCCAGAATGAAGGTTGTTGGGTCCGTAGAAATAAGTTTAACATAGAGAAACAACAGTGAATATTTATACTTGCCGAGAAAAGTCAGTGGGTCAGCAGCATTCATCGCATGCAGCACGCACTGGTATGGTCCATAACGACGACTCCGTCTGGGAAGCTGGTCTTAGCTTTTCATGTTTTCGGTTTTGTTTACCTTTATTCTCAGTTTTTCCTCTTTTGCCCTTGGCTAATGAAGAAATATATTGCTGGTTGCATTGGCTATAGATTTACTTGCCAATGCATGGGCACTTTTCGAGGCTCTCTGCTGGCAACCATCGGCTTGACAGCTGGCAATAGCTGCTAGGAGCGGCGGCTGCCTTCAAGGTTATTTGTCGGCGTTCTATTGTGGAATTACAAACAGTGAAGCTCCGAAATTTTAAAGTTGATTTTCAGTTTACTTTTAGGCATGCAACTGCATGAGCTCCAACGGGCACGAAGGTGCCAGCCGTCACTGCCAAAACTGTGCTTTGCGTAGCTAAATTTCCCAGCTTTCTCTCTCTCCCATTCTTTTTCCATCGAGTTTTCCAGACGGAGCTGGAAAATCTCAACAGATTACTCTAATGCAACAGTTTGTCCTATGGGGGAGCCGCCAGTTGGTTCGCGAGGTGGCACTCAGGACTGATTCACTTTGCCTTAAGTGGCCCTTCTACTCGTTTGCAAACTATAGAACACGGTGGCCACTTGGAATGTAGCGAAATGCCGACGATTCTTTCCCTTGAGTCGGGTGTGAGCGCAAAGCACCCTTCAGTGAACATCTCCAAGCAGTCGATTGACACCTTGCCTCCTATATCACCTCATTCACATTGGTGCTCTTGTAATTTCTGCACAATTTCAACTGAAAATGTGTAGTCAAGTTCGGGCCTAACGTGTGTGGCCCATTCGTAAGCAGCTGGGATGGGCACTTGCCTTTCCCCGTGGATGTTTTTGCATGCACAGAGTGGCGTTTTAGAGGACTCGAGGAGCATAGCGGACCAGATAGGGCATTTAAACATTCTTTGGATCGTTCTAGGGGTCTGTGCATTACTGACCCTCCTCTTTGCCATCTTTACGCTCACTTTGGGAGCTTGCGCCACACAACGGTGAGCTACTATAAATTCTTATCGTCTTCATGCGTAGAGTGCTTGTTCCACATCTCACGAGGAGGAAAGGGAAACCCAGATTCTCGTGCTTGGGCTAGAAGGGAATAGCGCTGCCCACCAAGGGCAGATTCTTTGCGTTGCACCGAGCTGGCACGGATGCACGTGCGTATAAGCAGATGCGTGTGAAGCCCCTCGTAAGATAATGAAGCGGGGAATAGGTCTCTGCAGTACAGCAATTGGAATGATGCCTGGCGTTCAGGGAAAAGCAAAATGACGTGGGACACAAGACGAGCTCATCTTTATCGACGTGAGACGCCTACCCGCCCGGCTCGCTTTATAGCCACATCATACGCAATAAGGAAGTAGTGGAATGTGGGATAGCGGCACTTTCAATTACAAGTTCAACCGTATGTTCAGCTAGGCGTTGCTTGAACGGAATCTACTAAGCTGTGTATGCTCGTGCTGCCCAGCACGTCTATTTGAATTTGCGTAACTTTGGCCACTTGATTTTGGTATTTGTAGCCCGCCTCCACAAGAATACATGTGCACGCAATGCAAGCTTAAAGCGTTTGTTTGTACGCGTCGTTACTGTTTTTCACAGGTCTGGCGACCAAGACGAGGACAGACCCCTCATAGGCAGGGCTTTAAGGAGCCAGGCAGGGTAATTCGAGCGTGAACCAAAAAGCAGTTGCACCAATGATTCCGTTGTTTTGCGTCCTAGCGAAAAGACGTAGAAGTGGAAGCACCAGATGCTATTCCAAATTCTCCGCAGTGACGTCACTTTCGAGGTTGCCACTTTTTGCACATCCTGTCCTCAGGTCTCACCGCTCCAGCCATGGCTCCGCCTATGCTCAGTCCCTATAAATCACTGCGTGAATTTCAGTGCTTCATTGCTTATTGGCAGTGAAGTGGGGAGAAGACAGCGACAATGTGCCTGTGCTGCTCGGATCAACAACGACGCGCACAATGGCTTCCGCACAGACTGAGGGCAGCAACTGTCCCGGCATAGTGATAGGACCTTAAAGCCCGAGCTTCGAAGCATCGCGTGGCCACTTGACGTGCTACTCACGCAGCAAGACCGCAGCAACGGAGGGCAAGCTGCAGCATAGAGCACCTCGTTGCCGTCTATTTCGTCTGTCTCCTTTGTTGAGCTTCCCCATGTATTGTGCGAAGCCCCCAACAGCTCATCCATGGCCCGAAGTCGAAGCACGTAAGGCGAAATATAGGTATTGATGCGTGAGACTCGTCTTCACCCGGCGCCCTGCTACTCCGACCTTTGCGCGCTGTGCTGTTCGTAACAACGATGGCAGTGCATGTTCCTCCTGCATAACGTTTTCCTTGGTTCTTTGAGCTCCAAAACTCGAAGCGCTTTGTCAAGAGACAACCGATCATGCCAAAGGGGTAGAAACGTGCAAGTATGCAGACTGAAGTGCATGTAACTGCAAATTAGCATGCAACTGCATGCTACTGGCACATTTGTTAGATAGGCACTGTCGTACATGGGCATGCAACTGTATGCTACTGGCACATTTGTTAGATAGGCACTGTCGTACGTGGCCCTGTCTGCAGCGCATCTGCTCTCCACCGCAGCGCTGAAACGTTGAGGGGGATAGCGGGGCGGGGAGGGGACAGCCCCTTCAGTCCGAGAGCTCGAAGTCCGCTGCAGTACGCAGTGACGCAGAATACCGCGCAGTGTCACATACAACAGGGCACGAGACCGTAACTGCAGCCTTAACATCAGCATACACAACATCCAGCTGCCCGCAGAGGAATTACGTGGAATATAGTGTCTCGCTCTGAGCTAGTAATATTTGAGAAGAAAACACAAGACAGGGCCACGAAACTAAGGTGTTAATTTGTGTGGCTTGGAGTCGAACTCCGGATCAGCTTAGCGTGAAGTATGTCACATTTATCTATGCGTTAGGGGGGATCCCAAAGACCTACAATGCAACAACTGGCGTATGCGCCCTCTCGCCTGTGCTTCGGCAGCAAGTTCTAAGGATCTGTCTTCAACTGCCACCTCCTTCGTTTGATGCAGCTGCTGCTGCTGTGCTCGCGACTGCTGTTGCTGGCGTGGCGGGGGAGGGCACTGCTGCGGAGAGAAAAGAAGATGCCCACTGGCACTCACGGCTCCACCTTCCGCCAGTACAGATCCAGCACTTGGCACTGCTTTCTTGGAACGCCGAGAGACAGAGGGAGCGGCAGCGCCTTCAAGTATCACCACCTCGTCGTCAGACTTGTGACCTTCCTCTGCATTCTCCCATCCTGAGGAAGGGGTCCCACTTTGGCTAGAAGCTGATGCGACTTCGCATCTCTGCCTTTTCGCATGTTGCCTGATTTTTTCTAGTGCTCCCTCTGCAGCAGCTGCTGCAGTAGCAGCAGCCGCAGTTGACGCTACTGTGCCTGGATCTGTACCATCACGTACCTTCGATCCAGAGGCGGTAAACAGTTGCGTTTGAGCGGGGGGGCGTACATTTCTGGTCGAATTTGTTGTCTGCCCCGCATGAGGTCTCGGTTCTGCTCCAGTGGCGGACAGGAATGCATGCGCTTCGGCTTTGCTGGGAGTGGCACACCGAGCCTCCAACGATTGGCGGTTTTCACTGTCAGTTCCTCTGCTGCCCCCCTCAAGGAGGGGAGACGACGCTGGAGCCTTCACAGTCTGTATCCTCGCGGGTTTGGAGCTGCAGCTGCCCTCTTGGGGCTGGGAATTGCAACTGGGTTTTGGTTTGTGGCGGGGGCACGCGCCGTCCTGGTAGCTCGTTTGTGACGCTAAGCTCAAAAAATTCAACTCGCACGCAGCATACACGGCTGCTTTCGCTCTGCTAGACCCCGTAACGGTATTATGGTGTGTACGCAGCTGTTCTGGTCGAAGCAGAAACCGCGAAGCCACTCCTTCCCCGCCCTCCACAGAAGCTTGTCCCAGTGCTTCCGCGCCTTCTGCACCACATCCTACACACCCAATAAGAACAGATGCATGCACAAGCTCATGAGGGCAACAACACAGAGGAAACCGAGCCCTGTCCCCTCCTTGAGTACCCACTTATTGTAGTAAAAGAGCAGCTACAGGCATGTCAGAGACTGTAGCTGTAGCTAGCCTGAGGGAGGCAAGTACAGCCATGTGCAGCGCTTTGTCTGACCGCATGCTGCATTTCGTATGGCAAAGTCAAGATTCGTCAGGGCCGTCTCGACAGCCCCTGGGGAGACTGTCCCCAAAGCAGGTGTTGATTGCTGTTGAAGCGCATCCATACTTCGGCTGGTACCATCGTTATCCTGCAACTGCATAAATCCCAGTGGCTGTGCTGCGCCCAAGGGTCCGCTGCAGCAAATCGCCTGCAACCTCTGAAGCAGAGAGCTCACGGCCCGCAGAGTGGAGGGGGGAGGGAAACATACGTCTGCAGCAACGAAGAAACACCGCACGACCATCTCCTGCAGGGGCAATTCACAATATAATACAAGTGCTGAACTTTAAACCTCACTAAAGGCAAACGCTTCTTGCCGCTACACTGCTCTATTCTGGTGGAGAGTCCCCTCAACCGAGGTGGCCTTTGCTTACGGAGTGTACAACAAAGACAGGCAAAACAAGCAGCAGCTGATATATGTATGACATATGGATGCGAAGGTCCGAAATTTGCTCGTGAGCTACTGTTATGGGCTATACCTTCTACCCTATGGCTGCCTTATCCGATCCGAGGAAGCTAAAAATGTGAGTCAAAGCCCTTCAGCCACCCTGTTTCCTTGATGTTTGTTTTTCATTAGAACAGTATGGAGCACCAAAATGCACGCAGTGCTGGCACCCACAGAGGCAAAATACCTCTGAATATGATACTGCGCATGGTGCCGTGTACTCAGTGTGAGTCGAAGGGTCCTTACTGATGGAGGCAGTAAGCAGACGGAGAGCCGAAATAAGTGAACACGGGTCCGAGACAACGAAACGTGCAAAGTGATGTGGTTCTCCTTTCCCAGGTCCACAGGAGAGGCCTCTAGAAGCACCCAACACACGCAGATTAGAACGAAATAAGGCATGGCAAACAGTCATGTTCTGCATGCGTGGATATCCATCAAATGCAAGGTGAATAGCAAAATACACAGATATTCTTTGTAGCTCGCTGAGCGCCCCACCCGCACTGCTAGCAAGCACACAAGAAAGCAGCGCAAAGGACCTGAGATAACACTGGCACGGCGCGACGCAATATCAAAGATACACGGCAACGACAGCACACAAAAGATAGCAATGCGAAGCCTATTGCTTCCTTGCCCTACGTCGTGAGGACTCCTAAGACAAGAGCATCCGCAAAGGCCTCAAGCTGCACCGTGGACAGCCCCAAGACAGAGAGGCTCCCTGCATAAAGCAACTCTTCAATAAGCCCGCAGGTACTCCGCCATGCATGTGCTAGCAGCAAAAGCCCCTCGCTTCCCGTAGCGTGTAGACCCCAAAGGACTTCTTCGGCCGTCGTAGAACCAAGGCTCCCACTACAGCTCTCTGTGGAAACCGTAGGCCGCAAAATACCGATTTGGCGTGTGTGCAACTACATTCACCACTGCAGTCGCTCCTGTTGCTGCTGTTAGTGATATACAAATGGAGCAAGGTATATTGGTTGGTTGGATACGTCGTCTTACTGCCATTTGCCTGTTTGTTTCTGTATGGTTTGGTCATAAGACCCTTCTCATGCATGAAGGCAAGAGGCTCCCCGTCCTCCGCAATGGCTAGCTGCCTAGCCACGTGACATCCATGCCTCCAGTGTGTGTCTGATAGCAGGTTCCGACAAACTGCCACTGCGTGGAGGGAGCAGAGACGATAAACTGCAGGTGATGCAGCAGGGGTCCCCCGCAGGAGACAGCGAATGAAGGAGAGAAGGCAGGAGCCAAAGCGAGCAGCGAAGATGCTGTGATGAAGGGGAGACGGCAGGCTGAAAGTACAGGAAGAAGCAAGATAAAACGGCAAAAAGTTAAAGTGATGCATGCATTTGCATAGAAGGATTATAGCAGAGGGTCTCGCAGTACTTCCACACCACCGGCGTGTGCCCTAAAGCACAGAAAAAAAGACGGGGCCGAAAGGGAAAAACAGCACAGAAGCAGGGCCAGTAAATAACAAATAACGACAGAAACAGATTCAGCGAATTGAGCAGGATGCCGGCAAGAAAGCAAGAACACATGTATGACTGACTTGAGGACAGTCTGCAACAATCCAGTGAAAACCGACAGACACGGCAGAACACCCCCGGGGCCTGCCACTTCCACGAGGGCTCCTGCCGCGTTCAGCGCTGCCTGTAGGGTTGCGGCGTTCGTAGCAAAGAGCTCCGTCTCAGGTAGGTCATCGAGCTGGTTTAACACAATGCTTGCTGTTGCTGCTGCTGCTTCTGCCTTGCTACTACATTTCCCGCGCTTCTCTGGCTTTCTGCTGGTGCCACTCGGGACACCCTTCTTGCTGTTGCCACCGCTATCACTGCTAGTGGACCCACGGGCACCTTCCCTCTCTGCGCTGCTGCTGCTTTGCAGTACTGAAGCCGACTGAGAGTTCCGGTCATTCTGTTGCTGCTGGCGTTGTTGCTGGTACTGCTCCATTTGCTGCAGCTGCTTCCTCCACTTTTTATGGCTACCCTTACCGCCTCTTCGAAGGAGAAGCGGCTCGTGCTGCGGTTGCTCCTTCGGCGTCGGGGGCAATGCAGAGTCCTGCTGCTGCTCTTGCTCCTGCTCCTGCGGTGCTGAAAAGTCCCCCACAGCTGCGGCTGCCGCAGTGACTCCAGACACAAATGCCTCGCAGCACCTAGCCGTGGCAGCAAGAAGCGTTGCCCCCAAACTATGAACGTTAACGATAAAAAATCGACCTCCTTCTTCTTCAACTTGAAGCAAGGCGGCGGAGACCGCACCCTGTGATGGGAAGGTTTGGCCAGCACCTGCAGTGCCAGCAACAGAACAGCTGACGGCAGCTGTATACCATGCATTTCAGTCTTTATGAAGGGAAGATAGCATGAGCAACATGAGTAACGCTACGCAGTGCTGCTGGTGCCACAGCAACAAAAGCACAAGCAATAGCAGCTACCGCAGCAGAAGTAACCACATCCGCCATAGCAGCCACAGCCAGCGGCGCATGCTCACCATACAGTAACAAGTCTCGGATGATCTGAAGAGATCTGAGTAGGAGGAAGCGTTCAGGACCTCTGGAGGCCTCCTCACGGTGGTCACCTGAGTTGTGGGCACCCAAGAGGCCAACGACACTTTGTTGCGCACTGTTGAGGGCCTCTGAGAACAGACATGGAACACCGAATGGGGTTTGCTGCTCCCGCTTTTGCTGCACGGGATCCCCCTGAGCTGCGCGTCTTGAAGAGGGACGCCACAGCCAGGTGAGACGACACAACAGTGAACGACCCATCTGCAAGCACAGCAGACGCAAATGTGCATCTTGACGCATGAAGTAAGACACATCTTCATTCACGAAGCTCTATGGAATTCTCGAGCCACGGATTACCAGTTATGAAAATTTGGGTTGCGGGCTTATGGTTTGGGGTTGAGGGTCTCACAGCAGCGGTGACGTCGGATTTCATAAGGGCCCCCTTTTGAGCCACTTCCAGCAGAGACGATGCAAGAGGACCCACAGATGCCCTTAGGGAACCCCGAGAAACCCCACGCCAGTGCAGCACCGCATGCGCGGCAGCAACAGCCTCCTCCTGAGCATGAACAGCAGCCGCAGTACCAGAAACCGCCAAAGCTGCAGTAATAATAAAGCTGCAGCAATAGATCTCCATGGAGACGACACAAATAGCAACAGTGCACAATCTAAACCAAAGCAGAAGGACCTCTGAGTGGAATTTAACGTACCCTCATGACAGTTGAGGCCCCATCAGTGCCGTCTCCTGGAGCGTTCAAGATGCCCTGAAGAGCCTTCCGCAGGACTCGCCGCAGTATCTGCCTTCTCTTAGTTGAATTGTCTTGATTTTGCGCCTTCGTGGGCTCTAGCGTGTCCCCTGGAAACATCCCATGGGAGACACTGAGTGCCATGACCGCCATCAGCAAGAGCACCTCGCCGGAAGCCTTCCTCGTATGCAGCGGCAGCTGCACAAGTGGCGCAGCACGCAAGAACCACAGCCACCCACAGGAGCACATGAGTAAATATGGACAAGATAGAAAGATGGACTGCTCCAGCTTGGCACAGAGCTGCCGAGTGGCAGCAAATGCGAAGCGTAGCAACGCATGGTTGGGGTCACTAAACTTGCGCTGCAGTACAAACAGCAACAACAGCAGCGACATCTGCGGGTTGCACCTTTGAGTCTGCTGCCACAGCAGCGAGCGGGCTGGAAAGCTGTTCCATCTCCCTACACACAACTGTAATGTCTGGGGGGCCTTCATCTGCTGCATTTAGTGCTGCTGCTGCTGCGTCAAAAGCAAGCAGCTGCTGCACGTGCTGCAGCCAGAACTCTACAGCGCAGACCCACGCATGAGCCACTTCCTCATGGGTCCTCCGAGGCTGAGTGCCGTCCTGCGGGCAGCTGTTCTGGGGCCCAAGGGGGCTCTTCTCCTCTGTGTACCCCAGCGTCTTGTGTAATATTGCGGTAAAAGAACTGAGCTGCGAGGCGACAGACTTGGCACATAGCTGTCTGGATTTTGCAGCAGCTACTTGTCGGAGGAAGTGGCGGCGACCTGGGGCTGATGCGTACATACACCCTAGTAGCTGGCGTTCATTTAGGCTCATGCTCAGGTACGCCTGGAAGGCCTCTGCCACGTTTTGGAGAGACACAGAGGCTCCAGCCCCGCAGTCAGCTCCCCACGCCTCCATCTTGACCTGTTGTACTAGGCGGTGGCTGAAAATGAAAGGGCTTACTGTTCCAACGTGAGTGAGGCACGCTCAGGCACTGCGCGTGCCGAAAGCTGCCTGCTAAGGGAATTTCAAGCCCAAAGTCCTGAAACTTAGCCGCTTACTAACAAATACCATTGTTTCCCATTCAAATTCAAAGAAAACTTTAGTCAAATTACAAGGCTGACGGTCCAGAGGTACGGAAGGAAGCCCTTATGTGGGGGCCCCACAAGCCAAACAGCCGACAGATCTTTAAAACCCTCGATACCTCCCTCAAATTTCCCGTAATTCGGTAGCACTTTTGGCTCATGAATGCATATACCGCAAATTATTTGGTCTCTTTCAGGTTGCGTTGTGATATTGAAACCTGTTAACATAATGGGGCCCGAGCTTCAAAGCAGATACAGGGCCCTCCTCTGCTTGCTCCACTACTTCGGACTCTAGAGTACCTCCATTTTCTTCAGAAGTTCAAGAAAACATCAACTCTCCGCTGGTTTCCTATTTTTTGCTTCTTTTGCACTGCAGCGCGTGGTTGCGCTTGCTCATTACCAACGCTGACAGCGGGTCCTGACGAAGGTCTCGTAGGCCTCAAAAGCACCACGCTCATCACTTCCTACAGCCTGTAGAAGACTGCTAGAGATTTCAGTCAGATTTAGATGCGGGGCAGGGCCGCCCAGAAAGCCCGGGGCTTAGGGGCCTCAGGGTCTCCCCTTTTGAGTGACTTCTTATTGGCACTTCGTGGCCAGCCGAAGGCTGCCCCTAAACGTGCATCGACGAATGAAAGGTTGCATCCCTCCGTTGGCGCCTGTAAGAATAATCTCGAGGCATTCTCCACAGGGGCCCCCGAGGGACAACAGGGGTCACAGAATGGCGTCAACTGCCAATTTCCTGACTTTCAAGCCCGAGTGGCGTTCGGACGTGCAGCTCCTAAGGCGTGCTACTTTCCTCCTCACATGTCTCGTGGTGTGGTAGAGCTTCAGAAGAAGGCAGCAGAGGTGGATTGCCTTGTAGAGGTGGGTCTCGGTCGCTGCTCATTTGTCCTGTCCCTGCTCTGCACTTTCTGCCTTCGTTTGCTTTGTTGTCAAATCCGCATGAGTGGCTGTGCCTTGAATGCGGAGAACTGTTAACACAAGAGGAAGGAAGTGAAAGCGCGTATGCAGGGCCGCTCGTATAATTCTGGGGCCACTGCTATTGCAGGTTAGAGATGCGAGAGCCCCTCTCACTTCGAGCGGGTGTCTTGAAGCCATAAAGCCTTCCAAGCATCTGAAGCGGCTAATTGTTCTGAACAAGTGCGACCTTGTCTCCTCTACAGATGCGAAGGTGGGCCCCAAATGATTTAGGGTTCAGGGTTCAGGGTCGAAACGTCCGTCAATGAGCGCTGGTTTGGAGGGCGTTGCTCTGGGCCCAGGCCCATAGCATACGCGTCACTTTTAGGAAGAAGAAATTGTGTGCTGAGGGTTAATTTTGCCGCATAATAGAATAGCTTTATACTCCATTTATACATTGGTTTTAATTGTTCTTGCTAGAATGTGCTCTTGCTTTTCATTGCAGAAGGCCCAAGAACTACTCCAGGCAGCCGGCCTGGAGGTGATCCACTGTCTTTTAAATCAAGAATTCACGCTTCGGGCGTAGGGTTTATGGCATTAAGTGTGGGGATGTCAGTGTTAAGGTCAAAGTGGCTACAGCAACCAAGCTTACTTTAGTGGGTTGTTTTGTTCAGTTGTGCTGCTGAGTGTTTTGGATGAGTGGCTGCCTGAGACTCTTTATCTTATTCAGAAAGAGCCGCTTGTTCTTGTTCGGAACGACTCTTCAGAATATCCACTGAATTTTGTGAACGGGTCGATGAATATTTGCGTTTTCCGCCGAAAACGTCAAATGTGTCCACGCGCGTGTTTCGGCGCATGAGTCCTTGAAATATCTGCGTTCTTCTGTGCTTACTTGTACGTTTTTCCTTTGGAACTCCTTGCTATATTTTTCCGTTTCGCAGTTTTTTTCCACACCATCACATCTACTTGCGTCCATGCACCTTTGTATTTGTACGTTCTCCTTCTGCTCTTCAGTTTTACCTTCAGTCTCTCTGCCCCTCCTTCCTGTTCGTTTTCATGCAGTCTGTCCTAGTCTCTGCAAAACAGCGCAAGGGCTTGCACAAGGTTACTGAATGGGTGCTGGGGACCCCGGAGCCTAAATTTAGCAGCATTGGCCGCTGGCTGCTTTTGGCCGGGCTTCCCAACACCGGCAAGTCTTCAATTCTTAATGCGCTCAAGGCGCTCGCCTTCTCCGTAAACTGTACACTCTAAGTCTCGCACCCTGAGGGGCTAACACGTAGACTTCATACGTTTTTCCCCCACCAAGCAGTCCTAAACTATGAGCCCGAAAGTGCAGGCCTGACGCAATTGATCACAGAAACCAGCCCCGAACCTGCCTAAGGCGAATGATTGTAAAGGTATTAATTGAGGGTGCTGCATTCGTGCTACCGTACATGCTTCGTTGTTCCAGCCGTGGAGTGGGTGTGATGGATGGGGTTGATGGGGTCAGCTTGCCCCGCACAGCAATGTGAAACAGGGGACTAGATTTTTCTCGAGAATTTGTGTGGGGATTCCGTATGTCTGTTCTGCTAAATTTCTCGAACAGCTGGAGCTTTCGGGCATCTGAATGCGTGTTATTTCCGCAGGCGAGCTTTCACGGGAAACCTGGCAATCAACTCGTTCAGGGCGTCAGTGAGTCATTCTAACCTTAAAAGCTAAAGCTTGGACCTGAACTTCCAACTAGAAACCCGTTGAGCCTTGGTGTATGCTCGTTGGGAAGGTGCATTCGCATAAACAGACAAGACATAAATTCAGCTCCGTGCTCACGACCGCGCTCAATGAATAGATGCAAACTCCAGATGAGAATCATACAGAGTAGCACATGCGCAAAATGGCCTTCGCATAAATGGAAAACTGCTTTACACAGCGACAAACGAAGAGAAAAGCGTAAACACAAGCGTACACATGAGCATGAATGCTGTGGATGCACCAGCTGCGTGCGAGTCTCAGTTGTGGCTTTGGGTATAGTGTCTTAATCGGCTATGTAGTGACGATTTCCAGCTCTGCAGAGCCCTGTCTTCTTTGTCGCATGTGCAGTTGAGTGCCCCACGATTTGCACCTTGCTTCTGTCCCATTGGTGCATTTTTCAGATAAAACAACAGCGAAAACAGGGAAGCTGCCCGGAGTAACGCGAGATGTGAATGCGTTTCAATTGACGAATAAACCCAAAGTTTTCTGCTTCGATTCTCCAGGCATTCTTTTGCCTAAGTCGGTCTGAATGTGCATGCACGCTTTTGTTTTCAATGATTGGCCTGTCTTCCTTTATTTGTGTGCGATGGTACCTGTGCAGTAACTGTGCAGTGCAATGCTCAACGCACAAGTTTGTGTGTACGTACACCGATGTGTGGATCTGAATGCAAGCACACGCAGACAACCGCATATGTTTCGATTCTGTGTCTTCTCGTGCAATACTTGCCTTTGCACGTTCTTCCCAAAAAGCTGATTTCTGTAGAGCGAATTAGCTTCTAGCCTCTCCCAGTATTCAATGCACTTAACGTCTAGTGCTGGACAGCAGTATGGAGTAAAGAGCACTCAGATTACATTTGGAAGTGTTATCCCCCTACAGTAGAACCCCATTCCGATATGTGCAGGAATTGCGACCAGGGCAGAAGTTTGATATTGGGAGTGTTGGGCATTTTGCCAGAACACCTTATAGGGGAAGAATTGGCTGCAGATTATCTCCTCTTCCAGCTTAACAAGAACCGGCAGTTTGGCTACGTGCAAGTGCTAGGGTTAAACGGGCCCACAAACGATATTTACGAGGTAGGTAAAGGCCATTGCCTGCTTGTCCTGTCCTTCCTTTCCGTCGCCGTCTGTATGCTTTGAAGCCCTCTCTTCCCCAGAAATACGGCCAATCCTTGCTTTTTGGCGCATTGTTTTGCGCTGTGGTTTATTTGTTAAGTATAAGCTTTGCAGTTTGCGTTTTGCAGGTGTCCCGCCACATTTGCCAGACATTAGGCCGGCGACAAGAGCGCTTCAGTCTACCGCCTGTGGACCTCTCTCCCGGTTTTGTGTTTTTTCTGAATTTATTCAGAGAGGGCCACTTGGCCTCTCTTTGCCTCGATACCCTGCCTTATGCCGCAGATGTAGTGCTGCGTAGAGACGTCCTCGGGCAGCAAAGGTGCGCTCGAGATCCTCTTCCGTTTCCCTGGTGAAGCAATAGTTTCACTGTAACCCTGAGTTTACGTTCAGAGTGTGTGCACGGCGGAAATGTGCGTGGGTAGAGGAGTCCACTGTGCAACTATACCTACATTACCTGCGTGCGGTCCCTCACTTTCCGAATGTTTTCTCCGTTCTCTGTGTGTATACCTCCAATTACATCCAATACGCATCTGTGGCATGCAAGAACCTGCAGTTTACAGCCACAACGAGTGTACTGTTTTTGTTCCTCACTCTCACGCAGTAGTTTTCAGAATTCACGCTTAGTAATCGGCGGCGAAAATACACTATCCTGCATGCAAGTGCTCTGTGCCTGCGCACAAGCGTATACACATTGTTGCCCAACAAGCTGGCTTTGCGGCTTCCGCTATCTCGTGTTGCCTCAGGGAACCACCGGATCCGTGGCTTCTAACTGACCAAGAAATGCCCGTACCAGGCCTGAACTAGCTACTCATTCCACATCGTTTTGCTCAGCTAGATGAAATCTACGGAAACTACAACCAAGCTAGGAACCTCGCGGTTCGTTTCCCAGCAGCCAAATCGATATAGGCCCAAGGCCAAAAAGGCCCTCAAGCAGCATGACTTGGGCAGGGGTTCATGAAATGCAGGCCTGCAGACAAAGGGTTTTCTGTGAAGGCTCTCACCATCATTTTGGCCTGCAGGCCTTATGAGTTGATAAAATAACATGAGTACGAAAACGTGTCCGTTTGGTTCTTTTGACGGCGGATTTGGTTTTTG